GACTTTGGGGGGGTGAATAGTTATGCAAGTTTTTTTGTCTTATGTCTTGTTTGTTTCACAGTAAAAAATATTTTGCATCTTCAAAGTGGTAGGCATGTTGTGTAAATCAAATTATACAAACCCCCCCCCCCCCCCCCCCAAAAAAAAATCATTTTAATTCCAGGTTGTAAGGCAACAAAATAGGAAAAATGCCAAGGTGGGTGAATACTTTCGCAAGCCACTGTATGGGGAGCAGAGAGCTCAGAGAAGAGGTGCTAATTAGAACAGTAGATATAATAACCCTGTCAGTCACTGACTCTCTGCAGAGGCAAAACACACTGCCTCCCTGTGAGGCAGCAATAACAAAGAACAGGTAAGGTACGTACTGCACTGTATATCTGTACCTATAGTATAGCCTTGTGATATGAATGGTATATCTCTGGATATCTGTTCCGTTTTGGTCTGAACTGTTTCATGTATTCCCAGGTAGAATGTGCTTCAATGATCATGTGATGCAGGTGTCCTGTGCAGAAGTACCTTCGACTAGATCTGTATGCACTTTAACCCTCATACTGTACTACCAACATATTTTACATACTGTACATGGGTTACAAACTGACCCAAGAAGAAACTATTGGAAAAAGGAATAATCATAGCAAAATATCAACTTAATTCCTATCAAAACATCATTAGACATGTACAGAATGTTTTCTGAAATAAAAAATAAAAAAACTGACTTTTAGCACAATTACAGTTCATTTGCATTTTCTGTCAAGCTTTTTTCCCCAAGTACGATCCACATTAGTACTAAAAAGCTGATTTACCATCAATTCATTGTAGTATCATTTAGTTTTTAAAATGTTGAAGTAAATATGAATTTTGGCATATTTATGTGGTAAAAATGACTGCAATTTAAAGAGGCGGTACAACAACATTTGAAATATAAGTAATTTTATTGACAAAAAGTGATTCATCCATTGATCCTGAGAGACAATGACCAAACATATGGCTTAGTTTTCTTTATGTACTTACCCCACAGCCAGCATTAGCATTGCCGCTAATGACACAGTGGGATTGGTAGGGCCTATGGCAGGATGCTTCAAAAAGCATGGCCAAATCCTCAAAGTCACTTCAAACCAAATGTTATAGCAACCAAAATACCATAACAAGTTGCACTTAGAGCCCAATTCTGACCCGAGTTAAGAGTAAATAGAACGTAATTCCCTTTTTTTATGCACTTTTCTCTCTATGTGTATTCTGACCTTGAACATTTTGGTTTTTGCCCAAGCACTACACAGCTGATTCAAATAATCAAACCTTGATGATGAGTTGGTTATTTGAATCAGCTGTGTAGTGCTAGGGCAAACACCAAAACGTGGACCCAGGGGCGGCCCCAGGACCAAGTTTGGGAAACCATGGCTAGAGAACCTGCCGGTTCCAAGTGGAAAAAGCATCTACTTTATTTTTTCAGATATAAATAGCACCATTCTCCATGCACTGTAATTTACAACTTGATAAGAGCTATTGATATGAGCTAGGTAAATGAATAATCCGTTTGGATAAGGGAATTGTAAATATAAATTACATTTGTTTTCGATATTATTAACCTTATAATCGCTGTAGACAAATGTGAAACCCATCATATGGCAGCAAACTGAAGCATGTCAACATATCAACATTCCCACAGTAAAGTGTAGTGTATTGAGATTATGATGGTGTTAAATGTTTTTTAAGTGGAACTGAAAGAATGTTGATTTTAGTATCAAGAGGGAATGTTTTAGTGTAACGCCACATTCAACAGACAGGAAGTGTGTTGTAGACAGGGGAGACTGGTGATTGGCCAGAAGAGGGAGCATCTCTTTGCATTGTTTATAAATAGGGGCTAGACTACAGAAAGGGCAGAACGGCCATTCCAATCTGAGGCGCCGTTCTCCGGGTGTCATGTCACCTGTCACTTATGCTGAAAGCTTGTGATCTGAATAAACTTATGATCAAGGATTCAGTATGAGCGGACTCCTTTGTTTATCAGCAATAATTGCCACCACTCACTCGATACGACAAAAGTTTATGATATACAGTGCCATTATGCAGAATTTAAATTTCACGGCCTTGGGATGGGCACTCTCAAATGTCTTTATTATAGGCTACCCCAACTTTCTCTGTTTCCTATTTCTATCATGTTAAATATTAGCCACTGTCAGTATCGACCGTCGGTAGGCCTAATAACAACACAGATTCAACTGCCAATTTACTGTTAGTTATTTTCAGTTGGTATAGCCTACATGATCATTCCATTTAATTCCATTGTTTCGTTTAGCTTCATTTGCTTCCTCTGTAAATGCCGTCACGGCCATGTGGTTGTTGCTGAGGATCATTAGTAACAGTTGATAATATAAAAAAGACATGTAGGCTAATTAAATTGTTATGGAGCGGAGCGCAGATCAAGCCATGACAGTTTGAACACGATACATGGTGCAATACTTGGCTGTGTCATCACACAGTTCCATGGTTAGTGCAGGCAATTGGCACACTATTCTTCCTAATATAATTGTACACTAATCTACAGTATGTCCACTAATCTTCCAACATTACCATGGGTTAAAGAACTGAAGTTCATATCGATACAGAAACACTAAACAATTATTCAGATTGATTTAGAACAAGTTGATTGACAAAGTCATGAAAAGTTGGAAGAATTTAATAAACCACTTTTGGGCTTTGATAAAAAAATATGCTCAGAGTGTGGCGGGTGATTTCGGACGGAGTCAGGCACAGGAGGTTAAATCACAGAATATATAGTTTAATCAGGAACACAGCGGTACGCATCAATGCGTAATAGACTCCAGTGCAACAAGGCACACGGGTGAATATCCCGGCGATACAAATATAAAGTAGCTCACCGAGCTATAATACCTCCACAATAAACAACCACAAACAAAGACAATGGGGCAGAGGGAAAACTTATACAGGTACTGATGAGGGGATATGAACCAGGTGTGTGTGTAATAAACAAGACAAAACCAATGGAATGATGAGATGAGGAGCGGCAGTGGCTAGAAGGCCGGTGATGACGAACCGCGAAGCCTGTCCGAACCAGGAGAGGAGGCAGCTTCGGAGGAAGTCGTGACACAGAATGACCATTGGGTTCTTGGTCACCTCCCTGACCAAGGCCCTTCTCCCCCGATTGCTCAGTTTTGCCAGGCGGCCAGCTCTAGGAAGAGTCTTGGTGGTTCCAAACTTCTTCCATTTATGATGGAGGCCATAGTGTTCTTGGGGACCTTTTTTGGTACCCTTCCCCAGAGCTGTGCCTCGCCACAATCCTGTCTCTGAGCTCTATTTATAATTCATTTGACCTCATGGCTTGGTTTATGCTCTGACATGCACTGTCAACTGTGGGACCTTATATAGACAGGTGTGTGCCTTTCCAAATAATGTCCAATTAATTTAATTTACCACAGGTGGACTCCAATCAAGCTGTAGAAACATCTCAAGGACAATCAGTGGAAACAGGATGCACCTGAGCTCAATTTCGAGTCACATAGCAAACTGAATACTTATTTAGACGTGATATTTCAGTTTTTGTTTTTTTTATAAATTTGCAAACATTTCTAAAAACCTGTTTTTGCTTTGTCATTATGGGGTATTGTGTGTAGATTGATGAGAAAAAACAAACAATTTAATACATTTTAGGATAAGGCTGTAATGTAACAAAATGTGGTTAAAAGTCAAGGGGTCTGAATTCTTTCCAAATGCACTGTATGCAGCATTTACCGTGAATGCAGTCTCCGTGAATGGAAACATTGACTTCAATTTAATCACGCTATAACGCTGATCTTCGGCGCTACAGATTGAATCCAACCGCTACTGTACAGATGTGGACCAGGATAATGAAGAGAATGGAAGTCTGGAGCATTGAAAACAACAGGACAAATACTTTCTGTACAGGTCACAGCTTGCTTTATTTTCATTTCAAACCTATGGGATGCACACTGAGAAACTACTCCAGGCTTTGCTACATATCATCTACCAAAATCACAATAGTTCAAAAAGCGTTTTTGACAACATCAAAAAAATGTAACGGAACAAAACTATGCAGAGAAGCTTATCTAGAAATGGATCTAAACATTGCAGAACCAACCGTTTTAGCAAAGACAGTGATATACACACTGTTCCCCATCATCTCCACGTCTTGGGTATTTATCCCTAGCTTGGCCCACATATTGATGTTGTGTACAGTATCTGGACTGTTTGCTAAAGTGAAATGTAACTGGCAATAAGGTCGTTATTCTCCCATTGAATTCTTTTACAAATATCATGAAACCTAGCTACAACAATGCACACACAGAAACTAGCATGAATGCATTGGGCTTTATACAGCTTGGCTCGACGAGGGAACTATGACATACAGTACAGTACATTGAAAAGTGTTCAGTTATCAAACCGTCATGATAGAGAATACTTAGCTAGCTTTGCTCAGATCATTCAGGAAATCTATTGTATATTGGTGTTCATGTTCAACTTCCATAGACGTACAAATCGGTACTCATCAGGGAAAACCTTTTTTATAAGAATGTATTACAGTATGATTATGCACAGAGTGACATAGATATGCCTGGACTTCAATCAGAAACATGTCATGACATGCCTTCCACTACATACAGTCATAACACTACAGGAGGACTAGCAGATAACAGGTGCACACATCTGAAAAATGAAGTTTGACTCTGTTAGTAGCAGCTCAGAAAAACATTGACTCGTGCCTTTGTACAAACAGTTGTTTGATATCAAATACAAAACAGCAATAACAAGTTTTAAAAAATAGTGATGATAAATAATGAATACATCGAGGGATGAGACAGAGTCGGCCGGGAGAGAAGGGAGATTTGGATATGGGCAGGAAGGCGAGCGTGAGAGTACTCTGAGCCAAGCAAGAGACTGGGGAGACAGACACTCCCTGTTAAAAGCTTGGAATGGAGACGGGCAGACAAGGTAGGGTTGGTGGGAGGGTTGGGCAGGCAGACTCAGTGCCCGTCTGTGTTGGGTGGCTTGGCGTCATGTGAGGCAGCGCCAGCAGGGAGCCAGGGAGAGACAGAGCGAGAGGTGGTCTGCTTGGCCATGCTGTAGTGGCTGATCACCGTATAGAAGCGCCCTCGGGAGTTGGCATCCTGAGCCGTGTAGTAGGCCTCCAGAGAGGCAGGGATGCACCGCTTATGCTGCAGGGGGGCGAGAGAGAGAGTGGGGAGCGAGGGTTCAATATCATACTCTCCTCATTTACACACTGTTGCACAGCATTAAGGGCTTTTTCTGGCGAAGAGGTTGTTTTTTTCCTCTGGAGAGTGCAGTGGCTGTGTCTAAAGGTGACTCTGTACAGACAATTAACCAGTGTAGTTGTAAGGCTTTGTCCCAAATAGCACCCTATTCCCTATGTAGTGCACTACTTTTGACCAGGGCATATCGGGCTCTGGTCAAAAGTAATGCACTATATAGGGAATAGGGTGCCATTTGCGACACACCCTAAGACCCTGCAGGGCCCACTCACCTTGTATATGAATCCGTCTGGGCAGCTGTGGTCGTAGGTGAAAGCCTTGTACACCACCAGGAATACTATGCAGGCCAGGAAGGCCAAGGCCAGGACTATGAGGATAGTGACCTGCGAATGAGAGATGTCATACACACCGTTCAATTTAATAGCTGCCGGTGATATCAGGTCTCTAGTCAAAGCAGAGGTCAAAAACATCTTAAAGCAAGGTTCTGTTATGTCATTTAATAGATATGGAGTTTGACACTATAATATCGGTATATGTTCAAAAGAGCACTCAAACAACTAAAACAAATAATTATTACTTGTCTGTTGACAAGGTGAGAGAAAACAAGTCAATATTCAGGATATACAGTGCCTTGCAAAAGTATTCATCCCACTTGGCATTTTTCCTATTTTGTTGCATTACAACCTGTAATTTAAATTGATTTTCATTTGGATTTTCATTTGGATTTTCATGTAATGGACATACACAAAATAGTCCAAATTAGTGAAGTGAAATTTAAAAAATAACTTGTTTCAAAAAATGATAAATTATAAATAACGGAAAAGTGGTGCATGCATTTGTATTCACCCCATTTGCTATGAAGCCCCTAAATAAGATCTGGTGCAACCAATTACCTTCATAAGTCACATAATTAGTTAAATAAAGTCCACCTGTGTGCAATCTAAGTGTCACATGATCTGTCACATGATCTCAATATATACACACCTGTTCTGAAAGGCCCCAGAGTCTGCAACACCACTAAGCAAGGGGCACCACCAAGCAAGTGGCACCATGAAGACCAAGGAGCTCTCCAAACAGGTCAGGGACAAAGTTGTGGAGAAGTACAGATCAGGGTTGGGTTTTAATAAAAAATCCCAAACTTTGAACATCCCACGGAGCACCATTAAATCCATTATTTAAAAAATTGAAAGAAGATGGCACCACAACAAACCTGCCAAGAGAGGGCCGCCCACCAAAACTCACAGACCAGGCAAGGAGGGCATTAATCAGAGAGGCAACAAAGAGACCAAAGATAACCCTGAAGGAGCTGCAAAGCTCCACAGCGGAGATTGGAGTATCTGTCCATAGGACCACTTTAAGCCGTACACTCCACAGAGCCGGGCTTTACGGAAGAGTGGCCAGAGAAAAGCCATTGCTTAAAGAAAAAAATAAGCAAACACGTTTGGTGTTCCCAAAAGGCATGTGGGAGACTCCCCAAACATATGGAAGAAGGTACTCTGGTCAGATAAGACTAAAATTGAGCTTTTTGGCCATCAAGGAAAATGTCTGGCGCAAACCCAACACCTCTCATCACCCCGAGAACACCATCCCCACAGTGAAGCATGGTGGTGGCAGCATCATGCTGTGGGGATGTTTTTCATCGGCAGGGACTGGGAAACTGGTCAGAATTGAAGGAATGATGGGAATGATGGCTAAATACAGGGAAATTCTTGAGGGAAACCTGTTTCAGTCTTCCAGAGATTTGAGACTGGGACGGAGGTTCACCTTCCAGCAGGACAATGACCCTAAGCATACTGCTAAAGCAACACTCGAGTGGTTTAAGGGGAAACAATTAAATAGTGAATAGGGGGGGTGAATAGTTATGCACGCTCAGGTTTTCTGTTTTTCAACCTGGAAAAAAATGTATTTTGCATCTTCAAAGTGGTAGGCATGTTGTGTAAATCAAATGATACAAACCCCCCAAAAATCCATTTTAATTCCAGGTTGTAAGGCAACAAAATAGAAAAAAGGCAAGGGGGGTGAATACTTTCGCAAGCCACTGTAACTCATCATCATTTGTCTCCAGAAATGCAATCTGAGTAGTGAGGTAGAACGTGTTCATTGCCTGCCATATTAAGCCCAGTGGAGACAAACAGATTCAATAAACATCTTCACTAATTACATTTTTCACAACCCAGCAGCCAAATTGGTCACAAAATGCAATTGAAGCAGACAGATGAAAAAAAAATAAAAAATCCCTAACCACATCCCTAAAAAAGACAATCCAATATGTCAGAATACATTACATTACTTTCAATTGAGTGATGCAAAGAAGTCTATATATATATTTGGTGCTTAAAATGTGTATTTCCCTGTTAGACAATATTATTTTATAGTGGGAGGTTAACATATAATAGGACCAATTTTCTCCCTGTTCCTCCTGAATCTATGATTGGGTGCTTTGGAGCGCTGGTTAATAAAAATCATGCAAATGTATGTAAAGGATAGCTGAGAGATGTAAGAATGGTATTGCAATCTGATTACTTTGAAGAGGAGTGAAAGAACATGTACACACGGCAAAGCTCTATCATAATATAAATGTGGTGTTAGTACAGTAAAACTCTGGTTTAGTACAGCACCAAATCAAGTGACTGAAGGGCTATTTTCATCCTCAGTTCCATAATTAATCATAATGCACCATAAAACCATTTCTCTGTTTCCAATGGCCTCCCTCCATATTGCCCATCACGCCATCTCGGCAGGATGTTAGGGTAATTACATGTAGATAGCGTGCTGATCAGCAGAAATTAGGGTGATTTGTAAAAAGGGAGCACAGAGGCTAAATGACTATTGGCTTGGGTGTTAATGTGAGGACACATGTTTGGTTCTGTCAGAATGTTCATTCAATTACATTCGCTTATCACACACCCTTAACATGTGAAATGGGTATTAGGGCTTAGGCTCAAATAGATTTAAACATACTGTAATAACCAGTATTTTGCATCTTACGTTTGATTTTAAAGCATAGTAATTCAAAACTCAATCAATCTTTCTAAATAAATAAATACTATAACAAAACAGATTTTTCAACTGCAATTCTTTGGCAGTTGTCCACATGACATATAAACACATTATCCCAGTACAGGAGTGTTTAAGCATTAAATTGATAGCTTTGAACCTAGATTTGAAGAGTATTGGTAATACTGACAGAAGCATGTGGACCATTAATATTAATGATGACCTTTTTACATTATTCATAATCTCAATGAACCCTAAACCTCACAGGATTTGGTTTAATAATAATAATAATATGCAATTTAGCAGACGCTTTTATCCAAAGCGACTTACAGTCATGCGTGCATAATTTTTTTTGTGTATGTGTGGTCCCGGGGATCGAACCCACTACCTTGGCGTTACAAGCGCCGTGCTCTACCAGCTGAGCTACAGAGGACCACGTTTAATGTCATGACACTAATTTGACATGCGTAGACACTGGATTTTCTTTATCTGTCTATATGTCCATAGATATATCATAATATTTCCATTACTGGTGGCCAGCATTTGTTAAGCCTGTATAAGACTCATCTCACAGCTAGCATCCATTCCTATTTAGTGTGTCTCCCTCTTCAGGTATCACCAATACAATGGTTGGCTTTGTCATTGTGTCCTTCTAGTCAGAACACTACAGTATACTGAGGAAATGGAACCCTACTATTGAACAGGGAAGTCTGAATCACACAATCTAGTATATTCCTCCTCTAGGTGAGGATATGTTTGCCAATTTCCACCACATCAAATGTCCTACATTAATACAACACTACCCACATGGAAAAATACTATACTATAGCATAAATACTATAGTATTCACTGTAGTGTTTTTGCTGACTTTACTGTAGTATTCACTGTAGTATACTGTAGTATTTACAGTCAAACTGTAGTATATACTATAGTAATTAATGTTCCATAACCTGTATGTAAGTAGGACTGTGGTCTGAATGGATAGTTCAGAGCTTCTGCTTTTTTCTATAACCTGAAGGGAAGACAATATGTGATCTGCAGTGCATTCGGGAAGTATTCAGGCCCGTTGACTTTTTCCATATTTTGTTACGTTATAGCCTTATTCTAAAATGGATTACATTTTTTTTAATCCTCCGCAATCTACACACAATAACCCATAATGACAAAGCGAAAACAGGTTTTTAGAAAACATTTCAAATGTATTAAAAATAAAGAACAGAAATACCTTATTTACTTAAGTATTCAGACCCTTTGCTATGAGACTCAACATTGAGCTCAGGTGCATCTTGTTTCCATTGATCATCCTTGAGATGTTTGTACAACTTGATTGGAGTCCACCTGTGGTAAATTAAATTGATTGAAAAGGCACACACATGTCTATATAAGGTCCCACAGTTGACAGTGCATGTCAGAGCAAAAACCAAGCCATGAGGTCGAAGGAATTGTCCACAGAGCTCCGAGAAAGGATTGTGTCGAGGCAAAGATCTGGGGAAGGGTACCAAAAAATTTCTGCAGCATTGAAGGTCACCAAGAACACAGTGGCCTCCATCATTCTTAAATGGAAGAAGTTTGTAACCACCTAGACTCTCCCTAGAGCTGGCCGCCCGGCCAAACTGAGCAATCGGGGGAGAAGGGCCTTGGTCAGGGAGGTGACCAAGAACCTGATGGTCACTCTGACAGAGCTCTAGAGTTCCTCTGTGGAGATGGGAGAACCTTCCAGAAGGACAACCATCTCTGCAGCACTCCACCAATCTGGCCTTTATGGTAGAGTGGCCAGACGGAAGCCACTCCTCAGTAAAAGGCACATGACAGCCCGCTTGGAGTTTGCCAAAAGGCAAGATTCTCTGGTCTGATAAAACCAAGATTGAACTCTTTGGCCTGAATGCCAAGCGTCACGTCTGTAGGAAACCTGGCACCATCCCTACGGTGAAGCATGATGGTGACAGCATCATGCTGTTGGGATGTTTTTCAGCGGCAGGGACTGGGAGGCTAGTCAAGATCGAGGCAAAGATGAACGGAGCAAAGTACAGAGAGATCCTTGATGAAAACCTGCTCCAGAGCGCTCAGGATCTCAGACTGGTGTGAAGGTTCACCTTCCAACAGGACAACGACCCTAAGCACACAGCCAAGACAACACAGGAGTGGCTTCGGGTCAAGTCTCTGGATGTCCTTGAGTGGCCCAGCCAGAGCCCGGACTTGAACCCAATTGAACATCACTGGAGAGACCTGAAAATAGCTGTGCAGCAATGCTCCCCATCCAACCTAACAGAGCTTGAAAGGATCTGCAGAGAAGAATGGGAGAAACTCCCCAAATACAGGTGTGTCACGCTTGTAGCATCATACCCAAGAAGACTTGCTGCTGTAATCGCTGCCAAAGGTGCTTCAACAAAGTACTGAGTAAAGGGTCTGAATACTTATGTAAATGTAATATTTCAGTTTTAGTTTTATTTTGTATTAGCAAATATTTCTAAAA